CTCACCTGCATCTGATTTTGCGAATGTATTTGCTTACATGCATGAGTTGAGGTTTTACAAAGGGATGGTCACAGAGTTCAAAGCTGCTGCGCAATCATGTGGTGACGGTCGTCGTGAGTCTATGTACCATCGAGTGTTCATTGAACAATACGGCGTAAGGACAAAGCGATACATTGATGACATCATCGCTGTCGCTCTGGCTTCACAAGCCAATGGTTCAAGACTTGGGGATATCATATATAGCGGTAATACTCTACGATCCGGCAGATCTGGGCATGAGCGAAACGTTAGGAGGAATGTACGACAAACTGGTTGTGATGAAGATGGAAATCTCATTCCTATCAGTATTGAGTTGACCCAGGAACAAGTAGGACATAGCGTGCACTTTTTAGACATGGAAATAGTCCAAGACATGACAGGTTCTCAGGCACGCATGTATGATAAACGAGATACTATGAGCTCTTTGAGGTCGTATCGTAGGTTTCCCCACATTGAGGCTAAAATAGGTCACCGCTCAAAGTATGCCGTATTGCATAGTCAGTTATGCAGATTTGCCGTCCGTTGCACCCGCTTTGAATGTTTTGAGCTGCAGCAAAGCTGATGAGGGACATGTTGATACATCATTATAAGGAGGATTTTTCAATTACTAAGTTACACAATTTTAGTCAAGCTTTCTTTAGGAACACACCTAAATATATTCCGAATTCCTTTCGTTCAGATATCAGTCCAGTTTTGATATGGTGTTGAGCACAACATTTGGTACCGTATTCGTCATGGGGGTGATTCATGAAGTTTAAGTGTAAGAATTAGAGTAGAGGTAGGAGCAACATGATGGGACATATTTTGTCGATGGAAGTACAGATAACCAACGATGTTGGTATCAACGCAGGTAGCCACTGTGGTATCAATCAGGATGTGAGGATTGAATTGAACGTACTATTAGAGACATGAGGATGGCCACATGGAACTCAATGATATTGTTAGAATTCTCTCCGGAAAGAAGGAATGTAACGTGCAAAATAAAACCTAAAAACCATCAAAACCTTTTCAATCACCCAACACCAGGGTGAAAAATAATGGATACGAAGTTAACCATTCACCATGGGGAACACAGTGCCCAGTGTCCCTTGAAAAATCTTATGAAACAGAATCTTCCAATCTCAGATAAAATGATGTCACCTGACCAGGTGAAAACTTCACTAAATTTCTAAATCTCACATCAAATGCGTCATTTGGCCAGGTGAAAATACTACACGTCGATGGTCTCATAATTTGCATTGAGCAGCCGGTCAGGGGAGCCCCTTTTGCACACTCTCACGCATTATCCCTACCGCCAATCTCCCATTGTGTTCGGAGCAGCCGGCATTGGGATCCCTGCCGTGGTACCACATACATAGCTCTCCTCCGACAAGACTTGAGGCAAGGCGGGAAGACTGTGTCGAGTTTCGTGCAAAGCCACTCACTCATATTGACCTCGCAGCTGACACCACCTTCTCCTGCTGCGTATCAACTCCCATGTGTGTACTTGGATACAACGCGTGTGTACCTTTCGTCGTGTCCCAGTTAAGATCCACTACAATCGACTACTACTCGTTGCTGCTACTGCCCTTCATGAAGGAAGCTCTACAACATGGCTGAGACACGCTGCAAACGGTTTCGACAACACTCTTCGACACACACCGTTCGAAGAAAAACAGGAAATTTCTACCTACATTGACTGCAACTCTACTGCTGCGCTGACCGCCGCCTGTTCATTTGCCTCGATGATACATTACACACAAGAAAGACTTAACTCCATTGCTGTAAATCAGTATCACTCCTAACCTACTGTCCTATGTATCCCCCTCCCCTTCAACGCGTTTCACCTACACGAAGAACGACATAACATTGTAGATTTCAAAATGAGCGGAAACAGCCATACTCACATCTACAGTACAACTCCAACTGTTGAAATTCAAAAAAAATCAAAAACATGTTGCGGTGCGTGTACAGTACAGCAGTCCTACAGCTGTACATACTGCAGTCTATTCAAGTCGCCTAAAACAGCAGCGAAGCACTTGCTACAAAACAGCAAGTTGTCAAACGACACTGCGCCATGTTCCCTGTGAAGGCCACATTCCACATAAAACTAAGAATGCATCCGCCGATACAGATGCTTTTCTTCTTAGCTCCAACTGGCATTACTGATAACTGAGTGTCAGGCTTACACAAACTCAAAATAAACTATGTCTCCAGTTGGTTTCAATCCACTTACTGAAAGGACTTCACCAAATCCCTTTTGACTGAGGTTATATCTCGAACGGGTAGTCTTTCTGTGAGGTTATGTGTACTTTCTAAAGAACACGACTAATCTATGCAGACTAGAGGCACGACGGACGAACTATTGTCTCAATGCTCTTCCCGTCGTGATAGATGCGCACCGCTACCGCTACACGAACGAGCAGACTGTCGTCATACCTGACAACGATGACCTTACGACCAGTGCATCACATTTCCGAGCATTCCCGGTAGCAACCTCTGCGTAGCAGCCGCATTTTCCGAACTGTGGAGACTTTCTCTAAATTTGTGTATGAAGTGCCAACAAAGAATAACACGACTATCTGTGTAACTAGCACGACGGACGAACAATTGTCTCAATGCGCTTCCCGTCGCGATAGATGCGCACTGCTACCGCTAAACGAACGAGCAGACTGTTGTCAAACCTGACTACACTGACCTTACGACCATTGCAGCACCTTCCGAGCATAACAGCAGCAACCGCGGCAGCAGCCGCCGCATGTACACAACGGTCACTCAAGCAACATACGCAAAAAAAAAAAATGTGGCGCGCAGCACGCAGGACCTTCTTTCGCTGTTCAACCGGCCGTTTCCATGGCGAAACTGGAAAGGAACAGTCAAGGCCCACTCTTGCCGGCCACAGGAGGCGGAAGCTGCTCAAACTCGGGGACCGTTCATGATTTGCGATTCCACACCGAACCATACTCGAGGCGCCACGAGATTTGCACTGTAGCTCGAGATCAGCATTTCAGACCGGGTCGGGCAAGGGGTGGGGAATGCGAATGAAAGTTCCACCCACCCACGGATATCAAACGATGAGACTGAAGCGAAAGCTTCAGAATATTGCTGTGGTCCACAGTGATCAGTCTGGAGAAAAGAGTTTTGTACACACACGGCCCTAGGTTGGCTAGAGGGCGCTGTATTGCCTCAGTAACCTGGCTTCGCCATCAAAGGAGGAGGGAGCAGGTGGCGACGAGCTGAACTGGGCTGGTTGACCCCTTCGGCGCGAGAATTTTGATTTTTCAGACCAAGAACCTTGAGTGCAACGAGGGAGAAAGCGAGGAACCGA